TGGATACATTTGCTTTCAACTTTTCTAGCTTACTTAAAGGATACATTTGACTTGCTAATATGGAAGGTAATGTGATGCAGTTTTCTCAGTTCAACACAGGACAAAAAACCCTGGCAAGAACAGCAGCAAAAAACATCCAGGACTGTGATAAAGCCATTGAAATGAGAGTAGAGAAAACAGAAAATGAAAAGTAGAACATCTTTCTGCCTTTTTGAGGACATGATTCTGATTAGAGAGAAGGTCTCTGTTTCTACTACTTCTGAGGATGAAAATTTTAAGGTGAACTCAAGTTCCCGAGTCAGGAGCAGGAGTAGAAGTCAGTGTCACCTGCCACATGCTGCCCTGTGGTAAGAAAACCACATTCTAAAAAAGGCTATGCTCTAAATATAACCTAGAAACTTGCTTTTAAATGATGGCATCATCTTTTCATTTAAAAGGAACACACCCAAATAAAAGTTAAAACACCAGGGGGTAGGGGAGGCCGGGGGAAGGTCAATGGGGAGAAAAAAAGGAGACATATGTACTACTATCTGTAGTACTTTAAACAATAAAATAAAATTTTAAAAAAAGTTAAAACAATTTTCATTAAAAACTTACATTGAGTTCCAAATTTTTACTACAACTGTAATGGTTGTAATAACAATGACAAACTAAATGTTTTATTTCAAAGATCTATAACATGGCTTCATATACACCATCAGTAATGTGTGTGTATAAAAAAATCTGTATAATATATTAGATTCTATAAGTATATGGATAACTTTTTTCAGTAAAATATATATTGATTTGAAGCTTTTCAGAACAACACATTTAAGAGAAGGTAAACTCTGAGAAATAATATCAGCTAAAAGTTTGCAAACACTATTCAACAAGTCTATATGGTGTAGATATTATGTGTATTACTTCAGTTATTAAGTATTTACTGACCTTAAACATTATGCCATATACTATATTTGGTGCTAAGAATACAGAGATAGGTTAAACCATAATTGCTGTTTTTATAAATTAAAAACAGTTAATAGCAATTTAAACAGCAATTTAACGTGACATAAACTAAGTCAAACATGATCCTTGTCCTTTTGGGCTTAGTCTGGTAAGGAAGACAGGCTTATAAACTAATATGTGCAAGTGTAGGGTGAATAATTAGAGCAGATTTTAAAGGGTAAGTTATATTTTTTAAAAAGTAGGAGCAGAATGGGTGGTACAGCAACAGATGGACTTGGCTACAGTGCATTAGAACACTGAATACGAGTTGAAGATTGGAGAAAGGAAATGCAATACATCATTTCTAAAAGTTTGGCTGAGAAGCTGAGCGCATCATTGTGTCTGGATATGGGTGTGGTTTGGGACATACATGTTTGCTTTTCTTTTAAGAGGGGAGAAGGATGTTTATGTGCTGAAGGGGGCAAGGGGTCAGGAGGAAGGTTGTGGAGAGTGACCCTGAAGAGGCCAGAGGAGAAAGCATCGGGCATGGAATGTTTGAGTCCTGGGATAACATGGACTGTGTGCCCAAGATTTAGCAAGCAGAAAGCATGCAACAAATGTTTCTTGAACTGAAATAAAAGCAATGCTAGATTTTTCTATCTAATTTTTGATAGTACATTGTTCTTCTCCAAGGAAAATAGTGACTGAGAATCAATTCTGGGGAAGTCTTGAGATTTTATTTCTATTTTTTTTTAAGTAAATAATGTCATGAGGAAAGAAAAATAAAAAAGAAGGGAAACAAATATTTAAAAGATTTTTGAACAGAGCCCAAAGCTTAGTAAAAGAACAGTTTGGGGTAGAAGCAAGAGAGAGAGCAACCTCCAATGCAAAGAGGAAGAGCCATGCAGTGGAAGGATGAATGAATGAAGACTGATAAGTTAAAGGTGTTAAAGATGAAAAAAATCATGAAAATGATGGGCTTTTTGAGGCTTAGAGTATAGTATTCTAGAAGAGGCAGCAAGAAAACTATTAGTCCCATTTGACAGAAAGAATGTTGTTATTAATTACTTTGTGTGATATAATGGCTGTCCCTTTGACTGAAAGCTAATCCATAGAGTGTGTGAGTCAGTGAATGGACAATTAAAAGAGGGTTACGGTGCTCTGTGATCCACTGAGGAGGCATCAGAATCAGGAGGACTGCTAGAGTAAAATAATCCCATTTTCTAAATTAACGGGAGGGGGAGGGGGAGCTAAACAGTCAAGGAATATAAATCTAAAATTCTGAAGTTAAAGTAAAATAAATGAGAAAATTTTCAAATATTTCAGGCCAACTCAACTCTTATTTCAGAGCTCTTGCCCCACGGAGTACTTTCTTGAAAGGACAAAGGTTATATACCACTTCCATGGTGTAAAGACAGACAGGGCTGCTGGCGGCTGGTGGGGACCCAGAGCACCATCATTTCAATTCTCCCTCCTCCTCAGCCTGTCCCTTTCTAACCTGCCCCTTTCCCCAGCCTCTTGTCTGTTAAGACATCTCCATGGATCTCAACGTGAAAACTATTCTGTAATCTATTTAGTCTTTTTTAAATGATCCTTGTTTTTGGAAATTTTATTCAAGTGATCAGGGGTCAACGTAACTCTCCGAATCCCAAGACCCACCCCACCCTCTTCCTCCCACCCCCCAGAACTCACTACTGCTGGCTTCCCTGGAAGCTGGCACTACCAGGGGTGGGCAAACTTTTTGACTCGAGGGCCACAATGGACCGGAGGGCCGGAACAAAAGCATGGATGGAGTGTTTGTGTGAACTAATATAAATTCAAAGTAAACATCATTACATAAAAGGGTACGGTCTTTTTTTTTTTTTTAGTTTTATTCATTTCAAACGGGCCAGATCCGGCCGCTGGCCGTAGTTTGCCCACGGCTGCACTAGACCATAAGTGGCCCGGAATCACCAGTTAGTGGGCTGGGTTCCAGGTGGTGCCAAGTGTGTGTCCGGATTATGTATGTTTGTTACTACTTCACAGAGGGGCTGTGCTATGTGGCACCCACTCCTCCCCCATGTCCTTCACCTTGTCACCAAGGGGAGGACAACTGATACTACTAAGCGTTGGAAGCCTCAGACTGCTAACTCTTTGTCTGATACCCCAGGGGTCAAAGAGAGAGAGCAGATCAAGTAAATTGGAGATATTCTTTAAGCAAAGTACCGACGTTTTTAAGAGCTTGGATTTCACCTCAGAGGGATCTAGCTTCAACTCCTGATAATAGGCATTACCTGCCAAGAGAGCCTAGCTGAGTGACTTTACCTTTCTGAGTCTCAGTTTCACCAAATGTACAAAGAAGACAGTAGTCTCTATGAATAGTTTTGATTTTTAGAAAGGATATAGGTAAAATTCCTAGCATCATTCCTGGCTCAGGGAAACCACTCAATAAGTAATAATTATTAGTATTGTTTTTATATGGTCTATTTTTTTTCTCAACTTTTCTAGAACCTGATGATGAAACGGCTTCTTACATACAATGCATCAGGGTTGGGATAATGTATACACCAGAGTCGCCTGCTTAAGAACACACTGAAGGTGGATCGATACTGCTAGCACCAATACTTCCCCGTCATAACATTCTACTTAAACAATCAATAGACAAATAGAAAGACCTTAATGATTTAGCATATCATTAGCATAATGCAGTGTCTGCTTGGAAGGCAACCTGAGCTACAATGGGAAATTTGAAGTAAGTGATTTTTAAAAAGGCCATTCTGCTTTTTTGGCAACTCTCCATTGACAGCATGTTACTTTTGCTTTCTTTGTCAAGCACAGAAAAACAGGAAGCACAAAATCAATTCGGACGGGGGTGGGGAGGGAGAGCTGGCAGAGACACAAGCTGTTTTGCGCAGTAGGGTCTGATCCAGATTTTGCAACAAGAGATGGCTATGAACTTGGCCAGGGTCTCCCGCTAGGCTGCTAGCACCTTTGAGCATTTTTGGACACACAGAGAAATTCTTCTGTACATGCAGGGTTTGTGATTCTCTCCCCAGGACCTGGCTTTTTATTTTTTTTATTTTTTTTTATGTCTGCTGGGTGTGCAGGGCCGTGGAGTAAGTGGGGGATGAGAAGACTGAGACATGGACGTAGACACAGCTTTGCAATGTATTAGCTATGGGACCTCGATAAAATATCTTAAAAAATTATGACATCTGTTTTTTCTTCTATGAGAGCACTAGACAAAGAGGATGAGTTTCTCACTCAAATCCCAAGTAAGGCAGGTTCTGTGGGAAAGCAGTGGAGGTGACCTGGAGAGGCTGGTTTGAGCTGTGGGCAACCAGATATCTGGTGCCCAACTTAAGGCATTAAAATTCAATAAAAAAAATAGTTATGTTTCAAGAGAGAACACTTGTTGGCTGTCCTTTTGAGCCCTCTGGACCAGGTTATATGTAAGGCCCTTTTTGGTTCTATGATTCGGGCTATGTTGGCACCAGAAGTAGCACCAAAGGATCTTGAAGAATGTGAAACTAGAGCCACTTACCAAATAACACTTAGCTACTCATTGTAAGAAAAGTTTCATAATGAACAACATAAACTGATGAACAAAAACAGATCCAGAGACAGAGAAGCATTGATCAGACTGTCAAACCTCAGAGGGAAGGTAGGGGGGGCGGGGGTAAGGGAGAGAGATCAACCAAAGGACTTGTATGCATGCATATAAGCCTAACCAATGGACACAGACACCAGGGGGTGAAGGCATGAGTTGGGGGGGCGGGGGGTGGGGGGGCAATGGGAGGATAAGGACACATATGTAATACCTTAATCAATAAAGAAAAAAGAAATTAATTAAAAATAAATAAATTTTAAAAATTTTAAAAAGAGAAAAGTTTCAAGTGTGTAAAAAATAAGTTTGCTCTAGTTATACTAATTCTAAAACTAAATGAATTACAGTTTAATGAGAATGAAATATAGGATTCATAGCTAGCTTTTCAGGAATTTTTAAGCATACCAAAAATGTAGTACTTTGAGGAAAATCTATTAGATGATATTAGCTCCAGAATCAATTATCATCTTCCATGCAACTAGATACATACCTAGCAGACCGAGCTTCCCTTAATGGCCACTCAGCAGGGACTCAATCCATCTGTCTCCAGTAAAAGAAAGAGGAAGTGTTTTATTTATAGAACCACTAAAATATCCACTGTTGCTTTATTCTGCGTTTTAAAATAATGAAGAAAACTCTTCAGCCCAAGTAGGACTTTATTGATCAACTCCCAAGTCCAAAGAGTAAGAACCTAGAAGGCAATGACCCAAACTATCACGTGATAGACAAGCATCTCAATTTATATACTTTAAAGAGCTCCTGATTCTGCAACACACCACGTCTTATAGGTAGTGAGCTCCATGGAACATCAGCGCCAAATTAGGATTAAAAAACACACACATGCTTTGTTTTGAAATAATTACTCTGTATGGGTTCATAGGAAATTGCAATGACACACAGAAAAGACTAGAGTACCTTCACCCAGTTCCCCTCTGCTGGTTACTCTTGAGTACACTCTCAAAACTAGGAAACTTGACATTGGGATAAAGCACGTGGATGGTTCTGTCATTGCATGGGCAGATTTGTGTACCCACCACCAGAATCGAGATACACAACTATTTCATTGCCACAAAGTTCTCCATGTGGTAGCCTTTCGCAGTCGCCCTCATCTTCCTACTCCCACCAACCCTGATCCCTGGCATTAACTTGCTCTCCATCTCTATAACTGTGTCATTGTGAGAATGTTATACAATGGAATCATATGGGAAATTATACAGTGACTTTTTAAAAAAATATATTTTATTGATTTTTTGCAGAGAGGAAGGGAGAGGGATAGAGAGTTAGAAAGATCGATGAGAGAGAAACATCGATCAGTTGCCTCCTGCACACTCCCTATTGGGGATGTGCCCGCAACCAAGGTGCATGCCCTTGACCGGAATCGAACCTGGGACCCTTGGGTCTGCAGGCCGACTGAGCCAAACCTGTTAGGGCTACAGTGACTTTTTTATATTGGATTTTTTTCACCTGGCATAATGTCCTAGAAATGTATGCAAGTTGTTCCATTTCTTTCTATTTTTGTGCATTCTTTTTATTACAGAATAATATTCTATGCCGTGGGTTTGTTTAACTGTTCACTTATTATAGGACATTGTTGTTATTTCTAGTTTAGGGCTTTTTAAAACAAAGTTGCTATAAACAATCACATATGCTTTTTTTGTGGACATAGATTTTTTAAAAAATGTATTGTTGACAATATTACAGAAGTTCCCCATTTCCCCCCTGTTTGTACCCCTCTACACATCCCATGCCCCACCCCAGGTCTTCACCTCTCAATTGCCTGTGTCCATGGGCTATGCATATATGCATATATGTTCTTTGGTTCATCTCTTCCCATCCGCCCAACCCCCTCTGAGATCTGTGGGTGTGTTCCATGAATACATGCCTCTGGACCTATTTATTTCATCAGTTTATTTGAAAATGAAATGTATTTTAATAAACACTGCCTTTATAATTATTCAAAGTATATGTATACATTTTGGGGGGAACTCCCTATATATGTTATGTTTTCTTATCCATTCAGCTATCCTATGTCTTTTGATTGAAGCATTTGATCCATTTACATTTAAGGTTAATGTTACATACTTCTTTATTGCCCTTTTTTATTTCTTTATACATATGTTTCTCTTCTTAAATCTGTCCCTTTAATATTTCTTGCAATGCTGGTGGTGGTAATGTACTCCTTTAGCTTATTTTTTATTTTTTATTTTTTTGGTCCGGGAAGCTCTATATTTTGTCTTAAATTTTAAATGATAGCTTTGCTGGATAGAGCAGTCATGGGTTCGGGTCCTTGCTTTTCATTACTTTCAATGCTTCATGCCAATCCCTCTGGCCTGGCATGTTTCTGTTGAGAAATCAGCTGACAGCCTAATGGGAACTCCCTTGTAGGTAACTCTCTGTCTCTCTCTTGCTGCCTTTAATATTCTTTCTTTGTCTTTCAGGTTTGTCATTTTAATTATGATGTGTCTTGGTGTGAGGTTCCTTGGGTTCATCTTGACTAGGACTCTGTGCTTCCTGAACTTGTGTGGCTTTTTCCTTCACCAGGTTAGGGAAGTTTTCTGTCATTATTTCTTTAAGAGGTTGCCAACCCCTGTCCTTCATTTGATGCATTTATACCATTTACATTTAGAAGTCCAATGTGCTACCTATTGTACCAGGAAGCAACCTATTAGATTATTTACATTTAATGTGGTATTGACATTATAGGGCTTACATGCCATTTTACTTTTTGTCTTGTTTATTCTGTTATATGTTTTTCTGTTGCCTTTTCCTACCTTCCTTTAGGTTAGTTAAACATTTTATTTTAGAATTCTAGTTTTGATTTATCAGTAGCATTTTTTAGTATGTTTCTTTATATAGCTTCTGATACAAAGATTTTTAGTGGTTTATTTAGGCATTCTATTATATATGCATCACTTATACAAGCCTTTTGATTCTTCTAGCTTAAGTGAAGTTTAGAAGCCTTTCCTTTTTTTACCAGACCCACTTATAATTATATGTGTATATATATTTCCTCTCCATATTTTGAGAATCACATCAGTAAATGTTATAATATTTGTTTCAACTTAGAAAATTTAGAAAATTCAAGAGAAGAAAATGGATATTTAGTCATATTTTACCCCTTTAACTTGGTCTTTCATCTGCCCTAATGTTTCAAGGATCCTTCTCTTATCATTTTCTTTCTTTTTAGACAACTTCTTTTCGTCATTCTTCTAAGGTAAGTCAGCCGACAACAAATTATCTTCTTTTTTCCTCATCTCAGAATGTCTTGCTTGATTTTCTCTGTATTTCTAAAAGATATAGAATTCTGGTTGGCACTTAAAATTTTAGCACTTGTGAACATTGTGCCACTTCTTTCTGGCCTCTTAAGGTTTCTGATGAGAATTCCACTGTCATTCAAGTTGTTTTTCATCTATGGGTAAGATTTTCTTTCTTACTGCTTTCAAGATATTTGTTTCCTTTTTGTTTTTATTTTATTTTATTTGTGAATCCTCACCTGAGGACATTTTTTCCATTGTATTTCAGAAAGAGGGAGGAGGAGCAAGAAAGAGGACAGAAAGAAACACTGATGTCAGAGAGACACATCGATTGGTTGCCTCCTCCTTGCACCCCAACTGGGGCCAGGAATGGAGCTTGCAACCCAGGTACATACCCTTGACTGGGAATTAAACCTTCAGTGTGCAGGCTGATGCTCTAACCACTGAGAAACACCAGCCAGGACTGTTTTGGTTTTGTTTGTTTTGTTTTTAAATAAGTTTGACAATGATGTGTCTTTGCATGCATTTCTTTGGATTTATCCTGTTTGGAATTTAGTTTCTTGAGTCTTTAGTTTTAAATCTTTTACCAAATTTCAGGAAATTTTATCCATTATTTCTTGAAATACTTTTAGCTTCTTTATTCTAGTGACTCTAATAACATAAATATTAGATCTTAATTCTTATAGTACCCCATATCCCTCAGGTTGTATTGATCCCCACCCTGTCCACCCATCTATTTTCTGTCTGTTGTTAAGATCTTCAGGTTCACTGATTCTTTTCTCTGTCACCTCCATTTTGTTCTTACATTTTGATCCTACCCATTGAGTTTTTACTTTGGCTACTGTATTTTGTCAGTGATTTTAAAAATTGAAATCTAAACACTTTGGATATTTTTTTAATAAGACTCTGGATCCTACTTGAACCTTTTGTTTTATGTGGTTTATTCTAACACCACTCTAGCAAAAGGAGAGCTTACTGTCTCATTACTGCCCAGTAGAAGGCAAAAGTACCTTTTCTCCTCTTGTCCTGCATTTACACTAGAGCTGATGTGTTCCTTGTTATTACTGGGTGGGTGGAATATTGTACCACTTCTTTCTGGCCTCTTAAGCTTTCTTATGTGCATTCCCCCACTAGGCCTTCATTGATACCATCCTGGCTAAGAGTGACAGGAGTGTCTTATTACTGCTCCCCGAGTGACCTCCACTCACATGATGGGGCTGGGGTGGCTATGTTATTCCTGTGTGGTGGTGAAAATTCTGACTCTGTATGAATGCTCTGAAATCACTTCACGGAGGAGGTGAAAGAGCAATTGATAGCTACCAGATCAAATGGAAATTCAGGTCTTAATTGACATCTCATGAAAGCAGGGGGCTCAGTACCATCCAGCAGGGTGAAAGTTTTGTACTTCCTACACAGTCTTTGATATCACCCTGTCCAGGGGGTTGGAGCACCTTATTCTAGTCCAGTGATTGCAAACCTATGACACGTGTGTCAGAAGTGACACACGAACTCATTTTTTTGGTTGATTTTTCTTTGTTAAATAGCATTTAAATATATAAAATAAATATCAAAAATATAAATCTTTGTTTTACTATGGTTACAAATATCAAAAAATTTCTATATGTGACACGGCACCAGAGTTAAGTTAGGGTTTTTCAAAATGCTGACATGCCGAGCTCAAAAGGTTTGCCACCACTGTCTAAGACTAGTCGTAAGAGAGTAAGCATCTAGGCTCTCCACTCAGTCTCTGGCAGCAGGGGTGGAAAAGCAGCCACAATTTTCTGTCGTGTTTGGCTAGAGCAGAGTGATTATTGCCTAAAAGATTTTCTGTGTTTCTAGACTGCTCCTTCCCTGGTCATTAGACTACAGAGAGAAACATTTTATTGGGGCTTTGTGGTTGGTTTGTTTTTGTGTGTGCCCATTGACATTTCCGCGTTGCAAACTTGTTTAGTATTCAGTCTGAGGTATAAAAAACAAGAAGAAAACTCAGGGGATGCATCGCTATTGTGTTCTGTGGGGCCTGAGGTCCCTAGTCAGTCTTCCTTCTTCTCTCCCTTAGAGTCTCCTTATGTTTGTTATACATGTAATGTCCAGGGCTTTTAGTTGTACTGAGTGGCAACTAAATATAAGAAGGTATTTCCACTCCATTAATCCAGAAGCAGATATTCCCCCAAATCAAATGTATTTGGCCCAGATTATTTCCATTCTTGTACTGGTTTTTTATTAAACCTTTAGCTATATTTCCCACGTACTTTCTGACCCAGTTATAGAAGGATATAATAAATGTAAGATAAAATTGTTTTAATTTTAAAAACTGGGATAGCCAAAAAAAAAAAAAAATCAGGAAAAGGAAATGCATTTTCACTTTTTTCAACCAAGCATTCATTTATCTGAGCAGAACAGAACCCAACAATGTGTTCTTTCCGCGGCTTATATTGCTTCTACTTTAAAGCAGAAAGCAAGGCATTTAGGAGAGCTGAGCTGTTTTAGAAATTGTATATGTTTCTTTGGGGGATAAATTTACACCAGACAGTAATTTAAGAACCAAAAAGAAATTGCTCTAGTAAATAAAAATGTGTGTTATGACTGGATAGTATACTCTAAACATAACTCTATTTTTGAGTACCACAATGAAAATGTAAAAAGACTTTTCTGCAAAGGTAATCCTCACATAGGTATTAGCAGTTGACGTATGACTAGATTTAAGCTGACTGGCACAATATTGGTGGCAGTGGCATATGTCTTACCTGATTTCCAATATTGGTGTCTTACTGGCAAAGGCATTACTTTTCTGCTTTCCTGGATTCCAATTGAAAAGGAAATTGAAATTCAAATTAATGTTTTGGCAAAACAGTATGTAAATGATAATGAGCATATGTATTTATTTGTGATGAGGCAGTTGAGTATCATTTAGATTAAGATTAAACTGGGAAGTCTACAATGTGATTTTCTACTTAACTTTATCCTACTAGACACTGTTTTGCATAATGAACTGGTTCTTAAACACATACAGTATTTTTATCTTTAATCCTCACCCGATTAAAAATGATAATATTTTTTCATTGATTTTAGAGAGAGTGGAAGGGAGCGGGAAAGAAAAAGAGAAACATTGATGGGAGAAAGAAACATCAATCGGTTGCCTCCTGCATGCACCCCAACCAGGAATTGAACATGCAACCTGGATATGTGCCCGAACCCATGACATTTTGGTGTATGGGATGATGCTCTAAACAAAAGAGTCATATTGGCCAGGGTATACACACACAGTATTTTGAAAAACTTTAGCACTACCAGTATACACAATTTTTCATTTTTTTATGCTTCATTGACATACTCAGTACTTTCACTGGTTTGGATATATCTGAATTAATCAGATACTTCTAGTACCAAATTAATTACTTAAGACCTAATACAATACAAAAGTAAACAATAAAATGCAACTTTTCTTCTGATTTTGTAATAAAGTCAGTGAAAGCCCTTTATATTCTTGAAATTCGCAAAATACTTTATAACAATGTTTTCAATATCTATTGTTCTTCAGAAATATTTGTTAAATTACCAGAAGTTATTCAAGATTTTTAATAGCACATTATCTATAACTTAATTTTCTAAAAGCAGATAACAATGATTCACTTTCTTTTAAAAAGATAATAAAATTAAGGCTAGGTTATTAAAAATTAGATAACCTGTGGAAATAATGCAGAGTTAAGTAATAAAATATTTTCTTTTTTCTCTTATAATAGAAATAAATTATAAAATACATGAAAGATAAGCATTTTGCTGTTTGCAATTGTATCACACCAGGACCTTTTGAGAACAGTATTAAATGAATCTAATACATCTCCAGACTTCACCTTGTAATTGCATTTCCTAATTTAATAAGACAAGATGCAAGAATGGTCAGTACTACTCATGATGTTGGGTTTTGTGATAACTTTTACATGCCCAGATCATCCAATTAAGTATCACAATCCCTCTCAGTTACTGTAACTCAGAGAATCTAAGTTTTGTTGTTGTAGGAGTGAATTTATTATTAGCTTTTTTCAAGTTCTACCAATAAGTGAGCTCAAAAATGGGAATAAAATCAAGTTCTGCTGACTTCAGCATTGCCTGTTATTCTGAATCTAATCCAAACTCTTATATTTGCCATAAAATAGAAACAGTTTTAATGCTCCCTAACAACATCAACAAAAATGCTTGGCGATATCAATTCTCTTCCAATACTATTTTAGAAAGTTATTAGCAGGATGTCCAAAGACACTTTATCAATTTGAAACATTTTTACTGTGATGATTCCTCATTTCATTAAAAAACTTCTAAACTGAGTGTGGGTCCTTGAGCAGCTACGTTTATCCCAAGGGGCTTGCCTGTGCTTGCTGAGACAGCTACCAGGTGAATCAGAGGTCTCTTCATGACAATCAAGCCTAATGGCAGTTTATCCTTGAGCACAGAAAACTAAACAGTAGATATAAGAAGTAATGGCTAAATAGAAGAGTATGCACATGTATATATTACATGTAATTATTTAGGCCTCATAAAATACAAATTAATAAATGTCTTCTATACATATTAATTTATTTTAATTGAATTTATTGGGGTGTCATTGGTGAATAAAATTATATAGGTTTCAGGTGTACAATTCTATAATAAATCATCTATATATTGTATTGTCTGTTCACCCAAGGTCAAGTGTCCTTCCATCACCATTTATTGTCCCTTTACCACCCTCTTCTACCTCCCCTCCCAACCCCTTTTCCTCTTGTAATCACCATACTCTTGTCAGTGTCTATGTTTGTTTTTTTTCCCTTTGCTTAATCCCTCAAAGCGAGAGGGAGAGAAATAAAGAGAGAAGAGAAGCTCAGTTGGTGTGGCTCAGTGGTTGAGTGTTGACCTATGAACCAGGAGGTCACGGTTCAATTCCTGGTCATGGTACCTGCCCAGGTTGCAGCTCCATCCCCAGTGTGGGGTGTGGAGGAGACAGCCGATCAATGATTCTCTCTCATCACTGATGTTTCTATCTCTCTCTCTCCCTCTCGCTTCCTGTCTGAAATCAATAAAAATATATTTTAAAGAGAGAGGAGAGGGAGAGGAGAGAGAGAGAGAGAGAGAGAGAGAGAGAGAGAGATGGGTGCCACAGATGCAGCCCAGAGCTCACTCTGGGTCTCAGAGAGGGGAGGAATCAGGTTGCCACCTGCACTCTCTGCAGCCTGGTAAAGTAAATAAATACAGGGAGCATTCCTGCCTGAGTGTTTGATATGCACTGTGGCTGAGCCCAGTGACCAGGTGGACACAGAGCACAGAGGTGTAGCTGTGACTGCAGCTGCCATTGCCAGGCAGAAAACAAGGCCATGGAGCCTGCCCCCCACTTCCCCCTCCCAGAGCTAGTAGCAGGCCCCAGAAGAAGCTGTAACAGTGAGTGCTGGGCTACAGATTACATTATCTGCAGCGCTGAGAACTGAAGAGGCAGAATCATTTTCCCTGAGTGGCATACGCACGCATGCTGCAGCTTAATCCCAGTGATAGGGGTGGAGATACAGAGGTGAGGCAGCTGTATCTCCCAGCTCACCCTGACCCCACCCATTGTGGCTGAGCCCAGCCAGGGCGCCTGGCACTCCTGTGGCAGTAAGGGCAGCATCTGGTTGCAGGGGACAGAGATGGGATTTCACAGGCTCAGAAGCCATTACCCACCACATTCCCCCATGAGGATGGTGCCCTGAAATGAAGGCGACCTGGTCACAGAGGACATGCCCCCTACTCAGGAAATACAGGGCATTTCCCACTGACCTGAAGAGATGCTGGAAGCCAGAGCATTGCAAGAGAAACTGAAAAACTGCACTTCAGCACCACCTACTGGAAACCAAAAGAAAGACTTATCAACCTATGAAACAGAGAAGTGCTTGCTATTCTTAAATAAAAAGCAGATGTCATTCCCATAGATACCTAGGCAGAGAGGAATTCATCAAACGAGGCAGCTCAGAAATAAAGATGAAAAATCTCCAGGTACTGAAATATGCGATTTAAATGATAGAGAATTCAAAATTGCACTTCTGATAAAACTCAACAAGAAAACTCAGATAGGCAGTTTAATGAACTCAGAAATAAAATTAATGAGCAAAAGGAGTACTTTACCAAAGACATTGAAACTTTAAAAATGAACCAATTGAAATTCTGGCAATGAAGAACTCCATAAAGGAAATGAAGAATGAACTAGCACATTTAGGAAATAGAGCTGATAAATGGAGGAAAGAGTTAGTAATATTGAAGATAGAAATCTAGAAATGATGCAGATGGAAGAAAAAAGAGACTCGAGGAAAGGAAGAAAGGAAGAAAGAAAGGAAGGAAGAAAGGAAGGAAGAAAGAGAGAAAGAAAGAAAGGAAAAAAGAAAGAAAGGAAGGAAGAAAGAAAGGAAGGAAGAACTCTACAAGAATTATCTGACTTCATCGGAGAGAACAATAAAGAATGATGGGTATACCGGAAAAAGGAAGGGAGAAGGGAACAGAGAACGTAATCAAACAAATAGTTGACTAGAACTTCCTAAACACATGGAAAGAAGTAGATCTTCCGATCCAAGAAGCAAACCGAACACCCAATTATCTTAATCCAAATAGGTCTATTTAAGGCACATTGTATTAAAGTTGTCAAAAATGAATAGCAAAGAAAAATTCTAAAGGCAGCCAGGGAAAAGAAGACAGTAAACTACAAAGGAAATCCCATTAGATTATCATCAGATTTTTTAGCAGAAATCCACAAGCTAGGAGAAAACTATTGAAAGAGAAAAATTACCAGCTGAGAATAATATATCCAGCAAAGTTATCCTTTAGATATGAAGGAGAAATAAAGACTTTTTCAGATATACAGAAGCTGAGAGAATTTACCACCACCAGACCTCCAAAACAGAAAATACTGTAGGGGGTTATTCTACTTGAAACAAAAGACAAAATAATACAAAAGTATAAGTAAGGTGACTAACAGAGAGACAGAAGCAGGATATTGCAACCCTTTTCCAGAATAGGGTATTTATATACTTAGATATAACTTAAAGGTTAAAGGAGGTAAAAACATTAAAAATAGAGAGAAGAAGATCATATCCACTGCAATTTGGAAATGAACTCACAGCATAAATGGGGATAATTGTGACAACAAAAACATAAAAGGGGAGGAAGTAAAGGTCTGAATTTGCAAAGGGAAATGGAGATAAGTTGCATTCAGAAGAAAAAAGGCTACTGTATATATAAAACTTCCTTTTGCATAAGCATAAAGGTAACCACACCAAAAAAGAAAAATCCAAACCTGAGAGATATAACTTTTAAAAAGAGAAAACAGCCCTGGCCCGTGTGGCTTGGTTGGTTAGAGTGTAGTCTTATCCTGTGCACTAAAGAGTCATGGGTTCGATTCCCAGTCAGGGCATATACCCAGGTTGCAGGTTTGATCCACAGTTGGGGCACATATGGGAGACAACCGATTGAAATTTCTCTCTCACATCGATGTTTCTCTCTCTCTCTCTCTCTCTCTCTCTCTCTCTCTCTCTCTCTCTCTCTCCCCCTCTCCCATCCTCTCTTTCTATTATCAATGAAAAACATATCCTCAAGTGAGTATTAAAAAAAAAGAGGAAACAGAGGAATAAATCATAGAATATGACCATTAAAACAAGACAGAAACACAAGAGGAAAGAAACAATGGATACACGGAGCTACCAGAAAACAAACATAAAACACCTATAGGAGATCTTCATACAGCAATAATCACGCTAAATGTGAATTAACTGAACTCACCAATAAAAAAGGCACAGAAGAGCAGA